TTTGGATTTTTTTTTAGCTAGTTTACTACTTGTCAAAGTATTAACGTGGAAAATGGAAAAGCAATGTCCTATTCAATTTCGTTTGCAAGGCTCAGCCAATGTCTGCCGAAATCACCAGCACGGTAGAACGTCACGATGTAATCTACCATCGTTAAATCCAACACAACCGTCCCTCTGTCATTGTCTCCTGTTACACGGCCGCAAACGTGGACGTTCTTCGACACCGAAATCTTCCGTGAATATTTCAGGAAAATTACCGCGCGTTCGTCGGGTGCTCAGGTTTCCAGCGATTATGTCGTATAATCCGTGGTGAGTGCGTTTGTCACGGCCACCGCAGTGGCGGTGGTGGCGGCGGCGGTGGAGACGGGTGTCGGGTGTCCCCGTGGGTGATATTCCCTGTTATCCGAAACACGAGGCTGTTATCCCACAGCACTTACCATACGTAAGCACCGCGATGGCCGGAAGAACGAGACGGAGGACGGGGCGGCTGGACCGTGGGGGCGGGAAGCCGGTCTCCGGATTATCACGGAGACATTAATCACCCTCGCGTCACCCAACCAGCATGATCTCAGTGAATTTGCAATTAATTCGAAATTGCCGTCATCGTCGCACCGTAAAGGCGTACGGGCGCGCGTCGTTTACACCATACATACTCGTACGTATATATATCGGAACGCTCGCGCGACGAGATACGGCTCGCGTCCGTTCCGATGCGGACGCGTACGATCGCCGGTGATGAATGAGCCGCGGCTTGGATTTCATTAATTAACGGAAGTGGCCGGAATTCGATGGTACATGGACGCGTCATTCGACAAAGCGAATACCCGCCGAGTGCATCGCAAATTGGTATTTAGTAGTTAAGGGATATGTTCCCGGTCGAATATTGGATTGATCTAATTCTCATGAGAATTGAAGCAAAGATTTAATTGCAAAGCTACTAAGTAGTAGGAGTCAAAAGCTCGCGATGTGATATAATTACGTGTATATTTTTCAATCGTATTTTCCAATTAATTTCAGATGGATTTTTTCATTTATATTATTTACAAAAATATTTAAACGATATTTAAATTACCAAAGATAATTAAATTATTCATTAGATTTGTTAAATTATGTTAAATGGCAATTTATTTACATATGACAGTAACAATCTTTGCAACAATTTTTTCGTCAGATGCAAAGTGCAGCTACGTGTTATAATTAATACTGCGCTCATTTATAATTATAATAATTATAAATGTGCCATTCGCATGATGGACAGGACGTACACATGTCTAATTGAAGAGCAACCCCCTCTGACAGATCATCAGACACGTCAACCATGATAAGACAAGAGCGACAGATCGTGCCCTTCGTAAGGGAGCAACGCCGGATTCGATGTAGGCTACAGTAATATCCTTTTTTTCTTACAAAGAGTACGCCCCATCGAGTTCTCATCGGCCCCGAGAGACCAACGGTATTACAAGTAATTGTCGCCCAGGGGAGATCGCAGATCGACCCTATATCCACCCCAGTTCCCAACCCGATCTCGAAGCGAGATGGAACGAGGGTGCGAGAGAAAGAAAAAGTAAAGAAAAAAATGAATGGCGGAAGAAATGAAGGGAAAATAGAGAAAAATGTATGATACGTAGGAAAACACTGCACTCAGAAATAGACAAGAAGGAAAGCGTATAGGAAAAATAAAAATGCGAAGGAAAGTAATACAGAATATATGAAAAGAGAAAAACCGAGTTCGTGAAGAAGGACGAGGAAAAGGAGAAAAAAGGGTCGAGAAATGCTCTAAAAGCGAGTCGAGAAAACAGGAAGAAACGGTACCGTGTACTACCAGACTGCGACACCCCTCCAAGTTTTCCACGACCCCAACGCCATACGTCGCACCAGTCCCGACTCGAGGGAAAAAAATAGTAACGCGACGGGAACTTTCGACTAACAAGTGGATGATTCACAAATCATTCCCGATTCGGCGGGACGCCACCCCTCGGCGATGAGAAACTTCATTTCAGTCTATATCCTTGCCCAAAACGACCAATAACTCCCGTCTCGCTGCAGGCGACGAATTGGGAACAGAGAAAGGAAGAAAGGGAGGAAGGGGAAGACGGGGAAGAAATAAATGCGTAATGCTCCGATTCGCTGTAGCGCGAATTGAGAACCTAATCGAGGGCGGCGCTATCGCTCGAGGTTGCTTCCGCCTTCGTGTTACTTTGTGATCTCTTTTTTGCTTTCTTCGATGTCCTAGCTCGGTTCCATTTTTCACTACCACGGTGACGTCTTCCGAGGGCAATCTTACCGGTGAAACATGTTAAAAGTGAAAAATAGCGTTTCCTTCCTGTTCGTGCCGTCAACAACGAGCCTGACGACGGCGATTCCGTCAACACTTCGCGACCGGAATACCAGAGAAATTATGCAGGGAGCAGAGAGTTTTTTCACGATACGCGATCGATTTATTCATCTGAAAGAGAGCCATTCGATGAAATGAAAGCATCGGACAAGACAAGTAACAAAGTGATGTGACTCATCGATCGAACTCGCCAATCCAGATGATGAGATTAGTTAGAACGCACATCGCGATATCCTACGGGAGATCCTCTCATCCGATTACAGGATGCAGATACGCGAAACGACATTCGAGTGAGTCAGAATTGCGACGGATATGTAATGTTCCCCCGATAGAGAAAGAAAAGTTTTTGTTCCTACGATGGAGACCGATAAAACCGCATAATATTACGTTTAATCGAGTTGCTACCGAATGTGCTACGAGGCATCATATCTCAACGTGCGGAAACATGTTTGGACGGCATTTACCGTGCTTTTAACGGGCGACAAGAAATTTCCAGTATATATCACAGCCTCACAAAAGCATTTTAATGTTCTCCATGTACATTGCTTGTGTATGTCATTTATGAGTTTATCGATAAATCTTTCTCATAGTTTTTTCCTCTAAATATCTAATTCAACAAGATAGAATGTAAACTTGAAGAGATTTAATTCTGAAAAATTCTAAAAATTTTAAGAAATAAGAGAGAGAAAAAGTTTAGTATGACTATAACAAAATAATTCTTTAAAAAATAAAAGAAATATATTCAATAATTATAATAGCTATAAAGAAGTCTTAGTTTTTTTCTCTAATTTTAAGATAATTTAAAACACTCGAACGCTTTCTTTCAATTAATAATCTGATTTAACATTTACATACTATCTAATAAAGAATTAAGAACTAATTAGCGTTCTCACGTAAACGTTTTAGCGAAAAGCTATCGTAGAACTATCGTATCTGTACAGAATTAAGTGATCAATTGTCGTACACGTTTCTCATTCCGTTACGCACGTCGTCTTTCCATTCTTTCGCCGTTTCCAACAGCGAAACTCTCTCTCGTCGTGTCAAAAGCGAGCAGGAGATAAGGCGAAACGACGGCTCCGTGATCACGGAAATGGCGCGATTTCGCGGTTAACGAACCTACGAATAGGTCCACGAGATAACGGGAGAGTGGAGGGTTAGAAAACACTCCCTTGCGGGATAAGATGGGTCACCGTGGTATTCCCGCAATAAAGCGTCCACCGTAATGGTACCAGACGTACGTTATACATCTACGAGTAAGTGGAACGAACGTCTTTCCAACGATCGCAACATGGTCGTCGAGTTTTAGCAACGGACCCCGGATTTGTGGCGCAAACGTATCGGCCTTTTACGGACGCTCGTTCTGAAAATCCCGGGATTCAATGAATTCGTGATACGATGTCCACCAACATACGGATGGCGACAAGAAAGAACTCGTTGGCTCGTCGTGTAAAGTAACTTTGCGATCACATAAACGCGAGCGAAAACGAGCTCGCAACATGAAATATCTTTTTAATTGATATACGTAATTTGTATGTATAATTTTCATTTTTGTTGACCTTATAATGACTTTATTAATTTATTGGAGAATAACTTGTGTAATACGTTTAGATTTTAACTACTATTAATATGTTCCGTGCTAACATTAAAGAATATAATTATTTTGTTTTTTTTTTTTTTTTTTTTTTTTTTAAGTCAATTTATAGGATGTTATAACATTTCTCTTTTTCGAAGAACAAAGCTCACGTGACATTTTTAATGACAACTCTAATTGCGTAATAGAACAAAGAATAATATGATAACGCACAGAGTGAAGCTAACCGAGTGAAATAACAATCGACAGAATTCGGTACAGCAGTCACGGCTAATAAAATACAGAAGCTGTTAGTTGTAGAACGGAGATTTCCTTGTCGTTTAACATCCGATTGAGGGAGAGCCGCGACTTTTCACGTTTTTCCCGCGTTCTACCACGTCGCGAGGGGTTTTCGAGGGCGCGTTCGGTTTCCTTGGTGACCGAAGGGAGCGCAATACCGAACCGCACCGTGTACACCGGTTCGCTCCGTCCCTTTCACGCCCAGGCCATCTGTTTGTATTTCATATTGATAGAGTATTGATACAGCCCTGCACCGTCGTGCCTCACCCCTCACCCGAGCCGAGCCCCTCTTAACCCTCGGCGAACACCCCCGGTAAACCACCGTGACGGGCCACCATCCCGCGGCGGAACGTAAACGAGGATACTGTGTGTTACCATTCCAGCCGGGGTCACGTGTTTACTTTGTTCCGCATTGTTGCGTCTCGTTAATGGCCGGCGGAAACGTTTTGCTCGAACACACGAGAAACTCGTATTTTAATGTCCCTTTTTAGTAGCAGCCGAATACGCGAATCGTGATTTCTTTCATAACCAAAAGTGTAAAAGAAATCTCGAGAAAGCGTCGTTTGGATGATGGAAAAAGCCTCTCGTAAAGACCTGAAATTTTCTCTACACGTTTGTGGAATAGTTTCATATGACATATGTATTGTAGTTTGAAAGAGCAAGAATCTTTTTGATTCAAGCAAATACCGAAGGCGAAAGCAAGATAAATAAACGTCGAAAAGATACCTTAAAATTGTAATCCGTAGATTTAGATGTTCGATTAATCTAGAAGCGTTTTCTTCCAGATATACGTACCGGGTGTCCTACGAGGCTCTGCCATGAAAATTCTAGGTCCGCTATGCTCGCCGGCACTGGCACGACGAAATTCATCGCGTACGTGTTGACCACCCCCTCCCGCACGTAGTACAACTCGGCCTCGAGTCCTGAAAGCAGAATAACAGAGTGTATCGATTGGGCGATCAATTATGAAAAAGCTGTACGGCAAAGTTTCCCTCCGCTTGCTCTGCTTGCCCCCGATGAATCGACCGATCGCGAACTACGGCACGTGCAGCCCTTCGTTATAAGTTGGGGACATTGACCACGGTCGCGTCTTCTTTACGCCAAGTATCGTAGTTATACGGAATTCATTTCCATGGAAACTTCAGAAGGCAGAATAATTCTGTCGTAAAACTGATTTCAGCACGCGAATTGCGCGGTATAGAACCATTGTCAGAAATTCTGATAGAATATTTTGTCATCTTTTCTGAATTTATTTATACATATATATATATATATATATG